CTTAAACTTACCGTGCTGATTTGGAACCCTTCCATCGTTGAAAACTTTCAGGACCTGGAGTTGAAGCCGCTCGCGAGTTTCATGCAGGTGGAGTTCAACAAGCCGAACAGTTTGCCCATGGACACCTGGCTGTTGCCAAACCGTGGCGATGACCCGTCCGTTTATGAGGAACGGATGCGGTTGCTAGGGAATATTGTGGTGCCAGCGTGTGCGTCGTTGGCCAGTGAGATCCTCCTGAGGGTTCACAGGTCCTGGCGCGCAACTTTGAGCTCGTGAGTTTCACATTCGCAATGCCCTTTTGATCTGGCAAGCTGTTTTAACAGCTTGCCAGCCAGGTCGTCACATGTTTCGCTACTATCTATAAAGGGATCAGCGCAGCTACAGGTGGACAATAGGTTTCGCTACTTAGAGGGTACAGTGCAGCAGCTACAGATTGACCATTTTTGTGGGCTGCGCGGGTGAAAGCTAATTCATAATGTAGCGCGCTCAGCGTTGCAATGCAGCAGTTCGATAGATGTGGGAAAACTTGGCGCAACGTATGCTTGAGGCTTCTTCTTCAGTCAACAGGAATTGTTCGCAACTCTTGGGACCAATAGCTGTATGAGGGGCCATGCAAAGAGTAACTTTCATTGTGCACACTGAATCGAGGTGCAGTTCTTTTGAAATTCCAATCGCCACCAAAGCTATTTTTTGAGGGGGTGCAAGTACGATAAACATGAGTCTGGTTCCTAGTGCAATGGAGGAGCCACGCATGGTTCGCAATGTCACTTCGTTGACTAGCAGCAGTGCAAGCTCCGGAACAGACGCAGAATGGCTGCAGACTTGCAAGCCCTCCAAAAGGAGGAAGAGGGTCCGGAAGAAGCGACCGCAGGTCAATGACCTTGTGCAGATTCAGGTCATGCTGTCAAAGATCTCAGCTAAGTGCAAGTCAGGGTGCCGTGACCATTTCCGGTGCAAAGAGGCTTTGCAGCGGCTGGTTTCTTTCAGGAAAGAGTGGGCAGAGTTGCACAAACTTGACCAGGACAATGTTGTGCCTCAGCACAAAAAAACAATTGTTTTTGAGCATGTTCATTTGACTGAGCGGCTCTGACAATTGTATTTCCCCATTGCTGGCTGCGCATTGTGGGTCTCCGCGCTAGGCCTTTCAGCGTGCGCGGGACATCCTTCGAGCAAGCCCTGAGGGGGCTCGCACTGCTTGGATCTTCTTGGACCAGCAGGTTTGCTTAAGATGTTTCAAAGCTTTGCATGCGCTGGGCGCCTTGCATGCAAGATGTGGTGGCGAGACATGTCGAGACTGCTGCTTTCCAGTTTCTGAAATTCTCAAGGTTTGCTTTTCTTTGGGCGCTCTTCGTTTTGTCAGGAAGTGGTCGCTTTGCTCGAATCAAAGCAGCTGTGGCGAGAGGGGACGCAGCGCCCCCAGTTGATTTGAGGTATTTGGCAAAAGCAAAGCATCACGCAGACAAGACTTCAGAACTTTTCTCCGGTGTCTTCTCGTTTCTTGAGCAAATCTACAACTCGATTGCCGAAAGCCTTCCCGACGTGAGAGATTGCACGTACGACTCTCCCTTAGACCCATATGCTATCATGGTGGACACAGAAAGCTCACAGCGAGATCCTTCTCAACAAAGCACGCAGGAACCAAAGTCCACCTCTAAGAGGCATCGCCGAGGTGTTGCAGTGGACCCATTAAGGACAGTTCAAGCTGGTTGCGAAGTTAGATGGCTCCCGCCCGGAGCGATCAAGGACTATTGGGTCCAGTACAAACAGCAAGCGCCAGGTCAGGCAGCCTCCTTCCCTACTTTTTGGCGTGTGCCTTTGCCTGATTCACTTACCCCTTTTTGGTTAGCTGGTTCGGTGCTTTTCATTTTTCAGGTTTGCGAGTGCGATGAACCAATCATCGTTGCAAGGTGTGGGCGTCCCACTTCTCGTTCATGAGATTTAGAGTGCATTCCAGTCACGCTACCTGCACAGAGTGCGTAAAGCACAAAGTGCTGATTGCATCGCTTGGCCATCACCTGGCTGCCAGGCGAATGCAACAGTCACTTCTGTATGCACACCTCGCCTCCCAATTTCGGGACAGATGTGAATATTGGAGGAAACGAGGATGCTCAAGGTCCCGAGGACCGGAGGTGATTATCATCTCCGACGGGATGGACCAAGGAAAATTTGCGGTGCCACGGCATCCCGCAATGCGGGCAAAACAGTTCGACTCATGGAGCAGGCCCCGCTTGCACGTGGCTGCCACCATCGCTCATGGATGGCTATTAGACTTCTTCGTCAGCGAGGCCAACCTTTGTAAGGATTCAAACACGTCGATAGAAATCCTGGCCTCAACTATGACTCGACTGACCCAGCTTGGGTGTGACCTGCCCTCGAGCAGAGTCACAATCCAAGCTGACAACACTTGCAGAGAGGTCAAGAACGGGCACGTTATGCGGTGGGCCAGTTCACTGGTATCAGATCACCGATGCCAAGAGATCTGCATGAGTTTCTTGAGAAGTGGCCACAGCCACGAAGACATCGATCAAGTCTTCGGTAGCGCAGCTGATTGGATCCGTAGACGCCTTCCACGCGCAGAGAGTTCAGAGGATGTTGTGACCAGCCTGCAAGGCTTCCTTGCTTCTCTGGAGCGCCCTCACGAGGGGCACAGAAGATGCTTCAAGCTTGATGGCACTCGTGACTGGCGCCTTTGTGTGATGTTTTGTTCAGGCTGTAGTTTTGCCGAGTTTCAGACGTCCGTTGCTTACGCGTGTAGTGTGTCAGTGTGCGTTGAACTGTGACAGATGGCTTTACTCTTTACGCCGTCATTGCTTGTGACTTCAGGAAAGGGTGGCTGAGTGAAGCCGTGCCAGTGGGACTGGTCGGTGTCGGCGGGCCCGGTGCGCCGCATGAGTTGAGATTTGTGAGAAGGTGCGACGTAGGCAGGGGCAGCGTGTCCAGTGACCAGTGTGCGTTGCTAGCTTTGAAGGGAAGTTTAAATCCTTTTGTGGGATAGGACGTATTTGTTGGTTCTCAGGATCAGGGACAAGTGTGCCGCGCGTCCAGAACAACTACTGGAAGTGTGATGAGCACCCTCATGATGTCCTTCTAATGCCATGGTCCCAGAGAGGGTTTTGTAGCAAACTTGACACCTATAGCGAGCAAGCGCTTCTAAGAGGGGCTTGCCTGGCAGGTGTTTTGGCATGCTTGTGAGTTTGCAGTTTGCGTGGTGATAGTATGACTTGTGACTCTCATCTTGTGAGGACCAAACAGTGGATGCACCAGAAGAACTACAGCCATTGCTTCCTCTTCCTTCCGCGACTATGGGCCTTGCGCAACTTGCCCGTTGGTATCCCACAAGGCAAGCTTCACGCGTGACCCACAATTCAACCAATCCTTTTGCTTGAGACCAAGTGCTTGAGAAGTTAGGCAATTGTCACTCAGCTTTTAATTTGCGATCGCCAGCTTTGGCCGACAAGAACGACATTGGTGATGCGAACCGACACCGTCATCTCAAATACATTCCTTCTTTGAGACTCCCTGAATTCAGCCTTCTGAGAGCTGCTGATTACCTGGAAGCCTGGATCAGTGATGTGCTGCCTGAGAAGCCTTTGCTAGATGTCAGTGCGCTCCATGACTGAGCATTGAGTTGAACGCGTTCAAATATATATAGTAACTGCGACGATGTGATTGCAGTTCACAGTGATTGAGATCCGAGGTCAGCTCTCAGCAGGTCTCGTGTTGAAGAGACTCGTTGGGCAGATGCATATGGAGGGACGAAGTCATTTGAGGTCTTGCCGAACCCTTTGATGCTGCTTGTCGGCTCATTAGGATGTTTGTTTCGTGATGCTTGGCGGCCCGTGTTTCTTTGGCCATTCAAGGCTTCAGGTGGCAAGGGATCGTGTAAAATATGCGAAGAGGTACAGGACAGCTTCGGTTTTCCAAGCTGCGGCTCGCTTGTGGGTTGAAGGGGTGCCGTGGGATAACGCTGTCGAGCTCTCAGAAGTCGCAATACAAAAATCTGAGCCGCTGTCCAAAGGACAACGGGGGAAGGGCCGAGGGAAATCTGGCAAAGCCAAAGGCAAAGGTAGGCGATGGACTGATAGACCACGCAGCCCGATAGACATATGGCCTATGGCATGTCAGGTGCTGCGGTAAGAATGTCTAGGACTGGCAGTGAGTAGAATCACCTCTTGTCTAAACTCTGTTATTCAAAAAGCGTTTGTCTAAACCCTAAACGTCGTGACACTCTCAAAATTTGGGAGCGGCAGTACCGTTTAAGGTGGCTTGGGTTCAATGGTTGATTGTTCTGCTTGAACCAGTCCCCATTTTAGCAGCAGTTCGGCTTTGCGTTTTTTGGACGGATCTGGGGGCAGATTGGTCCCCAAACGCAGTTGTTTGTAGTTTTTTTTGTCAATGTGATAATTTCAACTTTACAAGATTTGATGTCCACCTCTGGTGGTTGGACCGATCTGCCCCCAGATCCGCCCACAATGCAAAGCACTTTGCAGTGGCAGGTTGCAGGGCGAATCCTGGCTTCAAAGAGTTTGTTCTTGGGGCTGGTTTGTTTCAGAGAGATGGGCGGATCTGACCCCAGATCCGTCCACATACAATGACAAAGCCCGTGCCAGAACGGTTTCGCCCACGCCGTGTTTGCTTGCTGTGCGACGGATTTTTTAAAATCGGTCCACTCCATATAGTTGTAGCTTTTGGACGGATTTTTGCTTTTCCGCCCAGCAAGTTATGGTCTTCATGTGTTTGTGGAAGATGTGGGTTGAAGAAGTTGGCAAAATGTCACAATCTCCCCGCTCTTGAACAACAGAGAGTTGAGTTGCGCTGACCGGGAACACATATTTTTCAGCTTTTCAAGATGCTGTCAGACTCGTTGTGTGGCGCTTCTTGTTTTAGGCTGGCAGTCATTTGTTTGTGCGGGTTGGCCTTCGATGTTAGTTTGAAGGCGTGCATGGGAGGAGAACCTGTGAAGGATCGGATCAGGCGGCTTGTTTCGGGCGCTGGGTAGCATGGCGCCGAAAAAGCGCAAGTCGGGCGCTGGTGGCGCTGTTGACACGCTGTCTGGGAAGAAGGCGAAACCCGTTGCAGACCATGACCCGGCACAGTGGCAGTACATCCACCAGGTCACTGCCTGGCCCCTTGCCAAGTTACCGTAACCGCTTGTCGTGTGTTCTCGCACCCGCGTCCGTGAGCAGAGTTTGTGGGCGTTGAAGCTAAATATTGCTGCGCGAAGGTTCCGGAAAGAGGTTCTCAAGGTCGGTGGCTTGGACGACTATTTGTCTTCAAAACATCCGGACGAGGCAGCGTACGGGAGTGGGGGCACTGGCAAGTACTTTTTTTAATTTGAACGGTGACCCAAATTGAAATTTTGCTAGGGGTGCCAAATTGGTGATGCAAGCTTACTTGCCAGACCTTTTCTAGGCTAGTATGCTCGAGTTCGCAAGCTGGCTTGATGGGTTTGCGCCTGCCGACGGCTCGACCATGCCTTAGTTGGTCGTTTTGCGAAGTGTCCAAAAGCTTGTCCAACCTGTTTCCGCCCACCTCCTGGGATGTCCTTTTGCCCCGCAGGAAAAGCTACAGCACAGACATGTCAGGGCCAGGCTACATTAGACCGTGGCAGTGCTCGTGGCGCTCTGATTTTGGCGTGAGTGCAATGGTCGACCCTGACCAGGCCGAAAACCTGATGCAAATCTATTTGCAAGAGGGGTTACCTGACATGCGTTTACCAATCATTGGCTTGATAGCAGGGTTGCCATTGCTTTGATTTGGGTGTGTTTATGTGTGCCCCCAGCTGAGGTTTCTGACAAACCCCGACCTTGTGGGAACCGAGAAGGTAGCAGCAACCAGGGTTGGTTCAGCTTTCCTTGAGAGACCTTACACAGAGTGCGCTCCACTACCTGGCAAAAGTGTTTTGGCTGAGCTGTTCAGTTGGTTCGGGCTTTGAACTTGTGCAGGCATTGGCTTTGCAGTCTTGCTTGGATGTTTGGCCCAGGTGATCTGTTGCGGCCCTTCTCAGTCGGATACTGTAAGGGCTACAAACGGTGCTCCGTCCTGTTGATCACACTCCAGGGTGTGAGGGAGTTGGGCCTGGCTGACCATGTCCCCCACCATATCCGAGTTGCTTGGTGGTGAAAACCTTCAGACCTGATAGCCGCGCAGTGACGATTCAGTCAGGCTACGATGGGCACTATCCACGTGAACTTTGGGTCATTCAAAGACGCTCGCTCCCAAGTACTGGCCAATCGATGAGACAGTTCAGCCGACAAAACCAAGAAGTAGCCAAGCGACATAGTGGGGTTTGTGCGCAGTCGGGCCCAAATTGTCCGGTTGCTCAGCGTGTCGCGCGCCGCAGGATCTGCAATGATCAATGCCGCAACCCGAAAAGCACCACACTGCTTCAATTTCCTTCGCCAAATCCGCATCCTCCAGAAGTCTGGCTGTGGCGGAATCGACCAGCAGATGAAGGACACTTTTTTTGGGGGGGCGTATGTGTGATATGTGTCGCGTGACACCATGACACTTCAATGCAATTACTCATGGCCGCCCAGGACTGGGAGAGCGCGTCGGGAATCGCAAGAGCCTTTTCCATAGGGCCGAAGGAGAGCAAGGCCGTGCGAGAGTTGGTTGTTGGTGTCCCTGACCTCATTCGGAACCGATTGGAGGCTGCAGTGAAAGTGAGGGGAATGTTTTTGTTTTTGAACCATGATACGATTGGGAATGGCACTTTTTCTGTTGGCTTCTCTTCGGCCTCCGGTGCTTGCGAAGCTTGGCATGAAGAGCTCACCAACCTCAAGGAGTCACATGACCTTGTGGCTCGCCATCCAATGGTTTTTGCGTTTTCTCTTCTGTTGTTTGAAGACAGACGTCTGTGCTCCTTTTTGTTGGTTTCCGGGGCGAGGTTTCGCTTTTTCTGGACAGAGTCATCAACGACCACGATCAAGCAGCGCCGGGCGTGAAGAAGGCCCTCACATACAAAGAGGCAGTCAAGGTTCACCAGAGCTGCGGCGGTTTCCTCTTTTTCTTGCAAAGGTTCAAGCAGCTGTGCCCCGAGAAGGATTACACTAAGTTTTCTGACTCACTCAGATCACAGTTCATGAGTGGGTTCCTGGACGCCGACTTGATCACCACGTTGGAGGAACAGGTCCCAAATGCAGCAGAGGTTTCAGAAGTCAAGGCTTTCAGGCCAGGCACACATGGGCGGCCGACTCATGACTTGGTGATTCCCCCTTGCTAACCCACATTATGTTGGAGCAACCATAAACCCCAACACTTGCGACAACCAACCCAACTCATGACTTTGTTCGGGGCCAAGCCACGCAGCAGGCCTCTTATTTTGCAGATCGAACGGGGCCGCACTGACGAGAAGGAAGCGGCCGCGCAGGCGTTGGCCAGAGATGTTGCCAAGGCGACCCTTGCAGAGATCCAGGGAATGTTTGCAAGGGACATGGAGATCCTGAAGCTGAAGCTCCCTGGCAAAGCAGACCAGGCAGCTGAGACTGCGCGTGATGTGAAGTACCTTCGTGACCGCCAGCAGAGCCTCAGCTCAGCTCGATGGCTGTTGATTTGCGCGTTGAGCAGTTTTGGGGACACAAATGTTTGATATAAGTACGCGTAATACAAAGTAAATACAGACTGGCAGGTGGGTAGGTAGCAATTGTCGGATTCGTGCGCCGTTTTGGAGTGAAAGGAAGGGCCGCCAATTTGCAGAAGAGTTCATGAAGGCCAAGTGTTGCTTGGTGCCCGTTGACGACGATATGCAAACCATTGGGACCAGTGAGTTCCTGAAGTTCATGGAGCCTATGCGCGGAGCTGCAGGGACAGTGAACCTTGGTCAAATGATCTATTGATCTATTGTCACTTTTCGATATGGTATTCAACGCGCTGCCAACTAGCAGCGGTCAAGCTTTGAACTAGTGCCAGTTGAATGCTGATTTTGCTGGTACCCCCCGCTGGCCGCACTTGACATGTGCCTCCTCCGTTCAGAGTTTTTTGCATTTATTGGCCAGCAATCCCAGGTACGTTGTCGCTTGCCTTGATGTGACTGTCTTTCCCGCGAGCGCTGAAAGGGTCAAGGCAGCCTACAACATCCTTGGCGCGGTGTGCGCAATGAGCAGTTCACATTGTGGCTGGGTCTTGATGCCGGTCTTCCAGACACAAACAGCCGAGACCGCCTTGATGAAACACCGTCGCTCCATCGAGGATGGTTTGATGAAATCCTCTATCAACTTGACCAATGAGGTGGCAATTCTGTTTGAGAAACCAGAAGGTGTTCGGGATGGCCGGCCAATGTCGCAACCTGCTCGCGTTGCCATTCACACCAACTACGTGCAGACTTCACCGTTCCTGGAGAGCGACGCTGTCCAGACAGCCCGTTGTGGACCGTGCCAGCTGATCAAGATTTCCGACTTCATCGGCTTCGATCCAGATTCAAGGCCAGGGGCCTCAGCAAGAGTGGAGCAGAGCCTCAACTTTTCAGTCCTTTTGATATCTTTTCTGCAACGCCCAACTCTTTTAGGAATCTTTGGTGCTTGTTTGGCAGTGTCTTGAACCCTTTTGCGCCCACCCAGCCCTTCCTGGTCAACGCCGTGGATACAAGTTGGGCCCAAATCTAAATTGTATGGGTTTGTGTTTCAATCTAAACCAGTTTGGTGAATAGCCTGGGGCTTTGCTGAACCCACATTCAGACAAAACCAATAAATAGACTTTTTGAACTAAAGCTCAAAAAGTCTATTAATGTTCTTGGTTCCAAATAATGTGTAAGAAGGGTTTGGGTTTTCAGCAGCAAGCCAGCAGATTTCACCACTGAACATGTTTTTGTTCTGAAGTCTGAGCTTCCAGTGACCAAGCAAACGGACAGGTTTCTTTTGAGATGATTGTTTCACAAAGGCAGAACACGCGTGTTTTAGAACACCTTTGAGGGGTTGCGTCCTCCAACAAACAGAGCCACACAAACGTATTTTTAGCAAGCCCTCTTAACATGTGACCAAGGAAGGGAGTGCAAGCCCATAAGAAGATGGTTGATGACTTGCTCAGCTTCAACATCAATGAAACTGACAGGGTCATCTGGTTCGACGTGCTGCCTAACAGGCCAGGTTCTAACAAAGGGCCCCCCCTTGCTAACTCATTTCATTGTTGGCGAAATGGTTTGTTTATACAAATATATATAGATACATATATATATATATATATTCTCTTGCGGCTTCAATTCAGGCAAGCAGAATTCGGCCGAGCTTGCTTGCAGACCTTCCTGGAGGAATCCTCAACTCCTGTACACTACTTGGGGCTGGTGCGTGAGAAGAATCACGCTGAGCTACGTTCAGCTTTCGAGAGTGAGATCTATAAGTATTGGGACAACCATGGAACTTTGTCTCCGCCCAAAACCCGACCTCCGACAACGACGAGAACCGTTGACACTGAAAGCTTGGGCCTTGAGATGATTGCCATGGACAACAGCACTCCGGTGTTTCCCCTTGAAGTCGTTTTGAGCAGGTTCCGCAGTAGTGGGGCTGCAGAGCAGGAGGAAGTGAAGAAGATGCAGGCAAGGTTCCACGAGGTCTACCCACCTCCCCAGCCTACTGGGCCTGGAACAAACCAGAGGCCAGCTTCCACCACAATCCGCGCTTCGGGGCAATGTGACTTCAGCATCGACGACGGGAGGCAGCCCCTCGACGTGTCGAGGATGCTGGATCTGCTTTGCGTGCCTGTTGGTGAAGTTCCAGCGGCGAGGTTCGCGTTCAGTCAAATGGTGTCCAAATCAACGTGAATTTGATGTGAAAAACGATTGTTTGAATATCCTATATTGATCATGGTTCGACTGCAGTTTAAGCTGTATGGAAATACTGCATCGATGTAACCTTAGCTTCAATCGCTTTCAGTATTATACGCAGCTTTCTCAATTTTTCGATTTTTCACAGTCTTAGACCCGCTTCAATTTTGCTTGTCAGGCTTGGCGCTAGTTTGGGCAAAGGTGGCAAACCCACTGTGGTGATTGACACCTCGCACCACATTTGGCTGCTCAACTCTTCGGACCAAGCAATGCAAGTGACTGCTGGTGAGCTGTCTGGCTTCGGCACGGGTCAGTTTTCGGTCACTGTCGATTGTAACTTGGTCTGACCTTTTTGCTGTCTCGTTTTCTGAGCGCTAAGTTGCAGTATGTTAACGCGTCGCCGGTTTCTAGTCTGTTGACGCAGGCCAAGCCTAAAGTGATCTTAGATTCAATGTTTGTTTCAGGCGAGGAGGTGCTACCTGGTGGGCTTCCATGGGTCCTCAAGAGTGATTTGGACCTGATTGCGCATGACAAATCGCCGACTGCGTTGTGTGTCTTTTTGCGCAAGCTGGCGGTTGAGGGAGGCTTGGCCGACATCGACGTCGAGTACCATATCCTCGTCCCCAAAGTTCTGAGCGCCAAAGAGGAGCCTCTAGTGTTCTTTTTGACAGCCCTTGTTCTGTGTTTGTATTGTGTTTGAGCGTGAGGAAGGTGGCGAGCCCACGTCCTTGCCCGTCAGTTTCAGGCTAGTTGTCTCAGCTTCGTTTTTGCCTTTTGTTTGGTTGGCGCATGTGAGAATGCCAGGTGGGATGTGACCCGGCTTGGCTCCAAGAAGACGTGTGTTTTCAAGCCGAGCCCGCTTGATGGTGAGCCTGCAAGTCGCGACAATCTCCGAAGGGCAGTCCTGGGAGCTGTTTTCCACGGTGATTACCAGAAAGTCCCGCGTGGCAACAAACGGGTTGCATTGACTTGGGAGGCTGGCGCGCCCAGAATGAACAGCATCCATTGTTCGTTCACTTAGACTTTTGCAATAAGTGGATGAGCCTTGATGAGTGACATTTTGCGCACTGGACAGGTGGAGTACTCATCATCGCCGCCGAAGCTTTTACCAGTCAAGCCCAAGGTCTATTTGCTTGCAGCTCTGAGCATTCCGGCTGGCTCAGCTGTGGATTTGTGTGCTTAGTCAGCCATGAAGTAGACCCTGTTTTTCCTGGCTTTCTTAGAAGGATCGATTTTGCGCAGTCATTCACTGCAGATCCAATCAATGATTTGTTGAGTCAAGATGTGTGTGCCACACGGGGCATGCCACCAAGGGATTCAAGAGTACGAAGCCGGCAGTTCCACTGACACACGGGAACGCGCGCATGGAAAATAGAAAGCTTAAAGTTCGAAGTTAATGTTTAGATTTCTCTACCCTCAATTGCTGTTTTAGAATGGCCGGCTCTCAGATTGCTCTTATCGTAGCAGTTTGACTGTCAGGTTGAAGGAGTTATATAGTTCTTGGTAGCCGGGTGTTTTGAGAATGCCAGTGCTCATGAACGTCGACAAGCTCTCTGAGTCGTCAGGGGAGGCCAGGCCTGTTTTTGATTGCAGGGAATCGGAAGCACACTTTCCGATCGCGCCGCTCTATTTGTCAGGAGCCGGCGCCTAAGGCTAAGGCTAAGGCCAAGCCGAAAACCCTTCCTAAGAAGAAGGCAGATCCACCTCCAGAAACCAAGCAGGAAGCTTCAGTCCCACCAGCCAAAGGGGTGTTGCCAACCAAGCCGAAAGGCAAGGCAAAGACGAAGGCCACGGGTTCAGGCCGGCCCTTGCTGGACAATTTCAAGCAATGTGGTTTTTTGCTTTAAAGCGAGCGGTTTCTGGCGGTTTAGTTGGGTTTTGGGGCACAGGTGATCGCGCTGATGAGGATAAGGATGCAGCTGCCGCAGCAGCAGCAGCAGCTGGCTCGTCTACCGGGCCGAAGAAGAGGCCGAGCGCAAAGTTGAGCGAGGATGACAGCTATTGTAACCCAGTCTGGCACAAAGCTTCGCACGCTTGGACGGTCAAGTACCGTAAGAGCGACAAGCAGGCTTTGAGTGTTCCATGGCGTCGTGCGTCAGGTTCACACGTTTGTTTTTCTTCTGACAGCTGTTTGTTGCTGCTACCGATTCAGAATTGGAACCCTACAATTTTGGTTCTATAAGGTTGGTAGCAAGTGGATCGACAAAGAGAAGGGAAAAGAGATTGTAGCCCCATGCTCAGCGTTCTATAGTTCTCAGTGTGGTGTGTGTGCAATGTGTGTGTGCGCCAGAGATTTGTGTTGTGCTCTTAGCCGATCTGATTGGCAGCTCACTTGGAGGACTTGGCAGTGGAGAAGTTGAAGGCCGGCGAGCCCTTGGACGTTGTAAAGGCTGGATGTTTGTGAGGTGGCTGCGTGTTCTGCACGGCTGCCCTGTTGAGGCCATGACGAATTCCATGAAGCAGGCAATTTTTGAGAAGCGCCGATCGGAGACAGGGCAGGCAGCAGCCGCCAATTCTGGCGAGGCTGTTGGTGGTGCGGACGGTGAAGCTGCCGCCAGTGGTGAAGCGGCAGCCGCCGATGCTGAAGCGGCAGCTGGACCTGGAGCGGATGATGAAGACCCCGATCATTTTGACGAGGCGATGGAGGAAGAAGACCGAGAGGATGATGCGGCGGTGAGCGCCGATGGCCGGTTGATCGAAGAAGCTGCCGAAAACGTAGATTGAGCCTGGCTTTGAACAGCGACAGTCACCGCTTGCCGGAACTGTGGTGAGAAAAAGAGCGTTCCTTTAGTGGAGTTGCGCCCAGTGGCTGGGTCCTCGTGCTGCAACAGACTTTTTTCGGTACTTGTAGCCGTAGCTGCTTCTTGATTTGCGACGGTCTCCGTCCGCGTGTTATTAAAGAAGGATTCTGTGCGATCATGACGGATCTAAAGTGTTGTTTCTAAATGAACTGTGTGTTACAACTGAATGACCATGTTTCAACAGCGCCCAGTTGACTTGCAGATTTCTGCCATTGTGTAGCACTTGCCAAGTAAATCAGTTCCTGGCAACTTGTCTATAGCAGCTAGCAGAGTCAAAGCCTTAAAAGAATTTGCCCACCGCTCCCTCGCAATCGGCGCCCTGTTTTTCGAAGGTTCTTCGTCCTTTGTGTCAACCGTAGGTTTAAGGTTTTGCGAAGCGAAGGCTGATTACCAGTCACTGCGTTTTTCCATCAGACATCCTCTCCACACTGAGAACAAACAAACAACGAAAGCAGGTCACCCTGGTCGTGACTTGTCAAAGGGACGGCCAGTTTGGGACGTGGAGGGGAACCATCCAACTATTATGGGGAAGTCAAAACACCCACTCAGAGCATATACTATATACTATTTGTTTGCCGGAGTAAAGTTTGTACGTCGCCTGTCCAATGTTAAGCAGCATTTAATGTTTGGCGTTGTTTTAGCCGCTTTCGGTGAACAATATGTTGACAGGGTGCTGCCCGCCCAGTTCGTCAAGTTTAATGCGTTCGCTCTTCGCCGTGATGTTGCTCTGCAAAGCCGGGTGTGTTTGCAAGAACATGGTTTGTGGTTTCTCGTCCAGCCCCCAAAACCAGGACGCGGGCGTCCCCAGTTTGATAGCGCTTTGAAACGAGCACGGGCCGCGTCCGCCAGCATGGAACATGTCCTGTAAAAAACCAAGGTCTTTTTGAAGAGTAGTTGTCAAAAATGGTTCAAAGGAGTTCAAACACAGTAGCGCAGTCCACCAGCAACAAACAACGAAAAGTCGCAGACTGCCACAGAAACCTGCGCGATTGCCTGGCAGTTCCACCGCGCAGGTGTCCACTGGCTGGAAAACACAACGGAAATGTTGAGCGCTGTTGAACTTGGCGGGTCAGCGCTGCCTGAAACCCTCGCCTTGCGGGTTTTTGGTTGTCAGACTTTTCCAAGGTCACCAGGAGTCTAGTCTACCGCTTCTTTGGTGGACAGCCAATAAGGGTAGCGCATCCAAAAATTTTGAGACACGCGCTGCCAGAAATTGATGTTGCGTGATCATGTTTGACCCAAAGAATACAGCCCCTTGGGAAGCAGCTCCATCTACATGGTGAAGCACCAGCTCAGCGTGAGAGTTTATATGTGTTTGGACGCGTTTCGCCAATCCCCTCTAATTTGAAAAGTGTCCAACAAGATTTTTCAAGACATGGTGAGTAGGTAAGTAGTAATGTTCCATAAACACGGTGAGCCATGAGGATTGAACAGACATGTATCAACATCTGCCAAGCACTGTCAGCCAACAAGGCTAGATGACAGACATGTGTCAACATCTGCCAACCACTCTCCAACTGAGGTAGTGGAACCCCAGTTCATTTTGGAACCCCAATTCAAATGAAATAGCCTTCCCTATATAGTAGCGTCCTTGCTCCTAGTAGCGATGCCAGGAGCCCC